AGTAGGATACTATTTCTGAGATCTTTTTTTTCCTCTTCCGTTTGATTCTAAGGCTCTGACTCCACAAGGAAGTTCTCCTTCAGGGAGCTCCTGTCTCCTTGACTTGAGTGTGCTCAAGGCCCTCTACCTCTGGCTGTGCCGGCCCTAGTATCCCCTGCTTTGCTGAAGTTTCAAAGGTAGAAATTCAGCATTGGAAGTAGCTTAGTGACTGACCCCAGGAAGGGGCTGGTAGTCCCATATGAGAACCACACACCTTGTGTCAGGTGTCAGGCAGGCAGGGCAAAACCCGGGCTGAATTCCCAGGTGAAGTGCCTTCTTCCACCCTTCATGTGAGGTTTTTAACTCCAGCACAGTCTAAATTCTTTTAAAGGGGCTGGGCAGCCTCGACTCACAGCGGCCCCAAGCACCCACCTTTGGTCTTGGGCCTTCTTCCGCTCCTTTTCCCTCCCAGCCTTTCACTCCAGCTCTGCTAAAGTTCTAGTCTTTTCCACCTCTGTCTCTCTCTCTCTCCTCTTCTCTTTCAATCTCAAAGAAGGCATTGGGCTCTTATTTAATGTCCTCAGCAATCCTCTAATTATCCCCATTTTATAGGTAAGGGAACTGAGAAGATTGTCTCTAAGTGCTACTCTGGGACCTGAACCCACACACACAGGCTCCACATCTGCTTCATGACACTGACCACACGATCACTCATCCTCTGTTTTCCCCCTTTAAAAATATACAATTTTTTTTCTGATTTCAGAATTAAGATATGCATGTAAAATTTCAAACAACATAAATAAATTTTTTAAAAAAGTAAGTCTTCTTTCTTCTCAGCACAATAATCACCATTAACTATTTGGTGTGTTTCCTTCCAGAATGTTTTCTACATAAATACGTGCAAATGACTAATTTTCTAAAAATGATTCTTTTCTGCTTTATTACTGTCATCCACTGTGAGCTGCTTCTTGTGTTTAGAACGTTTAGATGGTCTGTGTTCTATTCACCAGCTTCAGTTTTTCCACTGTGACTATACATTAGTCAATGCTGCATTGATGAACTTTGAGGCTGTTTCCAATTTTCATTATTTCAAACAATGCCTTGGTTAGCACTCTTGGACATTCAGCTTTGCACATTTGTGTAACTATTTCTGTAGGATAAATTCCTGAAAATGGAATTCTGGAATCAACACCATACACATTTAAAAATTTAAGAAATACTAAATTAACCTCCTAAAGCAACAAGATTGGATTCCTGTACATTTATACAATGATTGCTTGTTTTCTGCACATGCCAGATTGACATTGGGGATATACATGCTTACCAGATCAATGTTAGGAATATTTTTCAGTTTTGTCTATCTGATTGGTGAAAAGCATTTTACTATTGCTTTATTTTGCATTACTTAATTTTTGGTAAGGTTGACTATGTTTATTCCTGATCTCCGTTTCTATGGTGCATTGTCTATTCAGATTTTTTGTTCAAATTTGCCTGGCTACTACTTACTTTTCTTATTGACTCATGAACCCTTCTTACACATTGTATATTTTTTATATGTATTAGAAATATGTCCTCAGTTTTTTGTTTGTTTATTTTGGGTACCAGGGATTGAACTCAAGGACACTTGGCCATTGAGCCACTTTCCTAGCCCTATTTTTTTTTTTTTTTAATTTAGAGACAGGGTCTTACTGAATTGCATAGTACCTTGCTTTTGCTGAGGCTGGCTTTGAACTCCTGATCCTCCTGCCTCAGCCTCCCGAGAATCTGGGATTACAGTCATGCGCCACTGGGATTATAGGCATGCGCCACTGTGCCCCACTGTTCCCAATTTAATGTTGGCTTCCCCAAACAGACGTTTTCCTTCCTTCTTCCTTTCCTTTCAGTGCTCAGAATTGAATCCAGGGCCTTGCACATGCTAAGCACAAGCTCTAACACTGAGCTCTACCAGAGTCCTTAGAGGTTTTAATTATTAAGATGATCAAACTTAAAAGTATTTTGGTTTATTAATGGTTTTCAGTCATCTTAGAAAGGCCTTGTGCATCCCAAGGTTATAAGAATGTTCACTCCATATATATATATATATATATATATATATATATATATATATATATATA